CAGAAATAATGTCATGTTATAAAGGAAATGTTTCATCCAAAGAATGGCTGTATATAAAACCAGAACACGTAGTATAATTAATACTGTATAAATAAATCAGTATATATAAACATAGTAGCCAGGAAGAGGAATATAAAGAAAATCAGTGTCACATTATATTTTGCATTAGGGGATTAGCATGAAGAAGAAAGGGGCAAGACCTGGGGACAGGATTCTGATGTGGAGCAATAATGGCATCTGGCCCACAAATAAGATATTAATGATGAAGTGGTGGCTGTACTTCTTTGCAGCTTATTGATTGTACAGTGTAAGTAGAAAACAATTAGGGCTTGTATCTGTTCCAAATGAACATCTTGTGAGATCTGCTTAGTTATTGGAACTGAAACAAATCTTGTGCAATCCACTGAATTTAGTGCTTAAATACATGATGAATACATTTCCTGAGGTGAAGGCTCATATTTCCTCTACAGAAAACCCCTTCAGTGAACCACAGAAAAGCAATTTCCTCTGAGTTCAAATGAATGCATTCTTTAAAACAATATGCGTTTAATAAAATAACTAGAAAAATAAGAAAGAAATAGAACTGTAGCACTATAAATATTTGTAAATATTTTCACATGAAGGATTGGGATAAATTTAGTATGCATCTTTCCTGACGATAGGAACAATAATGTAGACTTCCTGATCTTAGTCTTTGTGCCCCCACAAAGAAAGCAGCAGACTAACTCGGTCTGCAAGGATAATGAATGTCTGGTTTTACACAGTGTTTTTCATCTTAAAGGATACCAATGTGCTTTAACATATAGAAGTTAGGTGACTTCATCCACCACCAAGGTGCAGTGCCCACCTGGATGACAAAGACGGTCATCTGCAGGCACACTACACAACTAATCAGGTTGAGGGGTTAGAATTCCGACCTAACTAAAGTGGAACTTCTACATCCCTAACCTTACTTACAGTGCCATTGGATCCTTAATGACCAAGCAGTCAGAACCCTGGGCTAAATTTTCTTCTGAAGTATAGCACTCTTGCATCACAGTGTCTCTGATCAACATACTGGAGAGTGTGTCATGCTGGTCCATTAACATCACTTTCAACAGTAATGTTATCTTTCTGCCCCTGACTCCCACACAGCAGAGTACTGGAGCCAAACCAAAGCCTAGTGATTTCGCTTTTATTTAATGATACTGTACCTCCTTCACTGACATTCACTGAGAAGAATGCTGTTACTGAAAGGAAGAAGAGAGCCCACCGGTTTCACAAGAAAACAAAGGTTACAGTTTGGCCTTTGCCAGTTAACAGTCTACCAGGGAAAAAAGGCCACTCTCATCTAATAATATAATTGTCTCTAATCTTGCATTTCTGAGACTGAAATATGGTTATGTATAAAATGTTTACTGTACATGTTGCAATGTAGGTGAAAGGTTGATAAGTGCAGCTCTACTCCAGCTGAGATTCCACCCTGGTCTCTCACGGGCTCCAAGCATGTACTGTGCAAATTTACCCCCTAGCAATTCTCAGTCCTGGGCCTGGTGACCCAAGCACCTGTTGGTTTTTGCTCCAGCTGAGCCCTCAGCTGCACAATCAAACCCTTCATTTACTTATTATAAGATTAATCGGAACTGTTTGTTCCAAGCTCTTTGACCATGTTGGAGCTTACAGCTGTTGTATTTTGTAAGTCAAATAAGATCACAAACTCATGACTAAACACAAAATTCAAATGATCAATTGCAGCGCCTTCTTAGATCAAGTAAGGCTTCAATTCTCGAATGAAAGTGGGATAGAACAAAAACCAGCTGGTGTGTGGGTCACCAGGCCCAGGACTGTGATCTCTCTGCATGAGAAAACATTGTATTTCCTTTCCATTTTCAAACCTGTTCTTACTTTCACTGCCAAATCAATACTGAAACAATGTTATGTATTTGCTGGTAAGAGCCACACTACCTGCTGTTTAGAAATACCGGCTGACTGAAAAACATACTTTTTCAACCGAAGTGTCTAACACATTTCTAACTTATGTTCCCTCAGGGCCCAATTTTTAAGTTTCATTGCTGCTGCTGAATGCTGATATAGACGTTTGTAAATAGAGGTCTTACAAACTGCACAAAGACCATTTTATGAGAAGAAAAAAAATGTATATCAGTGTAAATTATAAGTATTATAAGTATAAATTATAGTGTAAATTATAAGTATTATAGAACAATGTTCCTTAATCTAAAACTTAAAAGGGGAATAAACAATGTTAAATATATTCTTACAACTCTACACACATTTCTGCTTCAGCCAATTCTGGGTCACATGGGAGTTGAAGATTTTGTTGGCAAGAAACCAACATAGGGTACAAGGCGGAGTACACACTAGATCACGGGCACAGGGCACAGACGCACACACACTCAAACCAGTGCCAATTTTCCCAGAAGCTGATTAACTTACCAGATAGAAAACTGGAACATTCAGAAAAAAAACATGCAATCATGGGGAGAACATACACACTCCACACAGATGTCCAGAATTGAACCCAGGGCTCAGGGACTGTGAGGTAGCAATGCTAATCACTGCACCACTATATTTTTTACAGCATACAATAAATATCTGTTTTCTCACTCCTTTGAGTACTCATTGTATTGATTGGTTAGATACACATTATTGATAAATGAAAGAGTGTGTCAGTAAAAATGTTATTGATTTTAACAGTCATGTATGTATAAAACAGAACTTGGTAGCTGCATCACAGGAGCAGTGAAAACAAATCTGTAGTGCTTTCTGTAGTTCAGTGTTGAAGTACAGCATCAACAGGTGCCAGTGGTTCACAGCTATGCTTTGATCTCTTGAAGGTAACCAGCAAGTATGACAAAGAGAAAAACTAATCATGTCATCCTTAGGTCTCATTGCTACATGGCATTAAGGTGTAAACGTAAATCTGATATTACTTCATCTTGTCTCAATCCTTCTATCACTCTACAAAGTAAACATTTTTTTCATAACGTAATTCTCATAATTCTAATTTATTTTTAACAAGTAAACACGTTTTAAAGCAGGTAAAAACAGATATTGCAGATTTTTTTACATGGCTGATTTAAATGCCACAGCATCTAAATCCTAGAGGTTTTAATTAAGATTAAATATATCCAAACTTTTAACTACTGTATTTTCAGTCTGATCATTAGTGAGTCTGTAGTGTCTTGCCTAATTTAGCATTCCCTGATTAGTGCTCAAATATATTTGTGATAAAGAATTGATTAATTTTTACATTATTCCCCTTTCTCGAGAAACTTTTAGTTTTATGTGGATACACCCTGTAAGGTTCAATTTATTTCAATTGTTAAAAAAACACAGATAATACAATACACTCACAAAAATGTCCAAAAACATAGAAATTGAATGCACACTGATGTCCTATGTCAGGCAGCTTAATTATACAAATACTGTAAAACTACAGACTGTAAAATACAGGAGCAGAAAAATTCTTTGTTTTAAAGATCTCTGAGATCGTAGCTGCATATTTCAAGTCTGTAATTGCGAGAGTTCTTCAGATTTTCAGGACTGATTTTCAAAAAATGTAAATTATTCCCTTTGTGAGGTCTCTTTTCAATTATTTATATTTTTTATTATGATTTGGCTAATTTTTTCACTTACAATGGACCCCTGTGACCAGGAAGATGCCCTGTTGTAACATACTTAATTCAATCAGTAAATAGCACATAATTTTGAATCCCAGAATCACAATACGAAGCTTTGATGGAGGTTACTACTCAGGCTATGCATTATTACTTTGCAGTGGTGCTGAGAAAGTTACAGTACCTGTTACCAAAAGATGAAGATCAAGAAAGCTTTAATAAAACTTTCCACAATTTGTTATTTTTATTTTTCTTAATGGAGAAAACTGCAATTCAACTACAATCATAACTGAACTGTACATTTGCCCATTCTTTTTGCATGCCTAAATAGGGGCTGAGTGGTGGCTCTGTGGCTAAGGATCTGTGCCTGTGGCTGGAAGGTTGCTAGTTCAAATCCCACAGCTGGCAGAGAAATCCTACTCCATTGGGCCCCTGAGCAAGGCCCTTAACCCTAACTGCTCCAGGGGTGCTGTACAATGGCAGACCCTGCACTCTGACCCCAAGCTTCTCTCCCTGTCTGTCTCCATGGAGAAAAGCTGGGGTATGTGGAAAGACAATTTCCTAATGCAAGAAATTGTATAGGGCTAATAAAGAAACATTATTATTATTATATACATATGAAAACATTAGTTTTAAACATTCCTAAGTTTCTTCTATACTAAAGAGAATTTCACCATGACAGGCCAATAAAAAATCAACTTTTATCAACTTTTAAAATTCAACTAAATGTATCACCACTGCCTTCCTGTTCATTTTGAAATCAAATTTCATGCTTATTTTTTTTCTCAGTTATCCTTTATTAATTCAGTTGTTTGCTGAAGAACAATTCTATTAAACACTTTTAATAAAACACTATGTAGCACAAACCAGACGTTCTGCTGCAAATACAACATTGTCACACTGTAACTGAAAAACTACTGACCCCTCTCCAAGAAATAGACACCAGAAAAAAAAACACAAAAGTCCAAAAGTTACTTGGTCCACATTTGGTTTTATACTTACATATGCGTATATTACAAATGCATCCACTTGTGTAAGTACATGTGATCAAAGCACTTCAGTATTGAGAAACTGTTGGCACAAAAACCAAGAGATCAATAAATCTCACATTTTAGTTTGTACAAGTATATTCCAAATAACAGTATTAATCTATGACCAACAATCCACAGGCAACTTTACCTGAAGAGAAGAAATTCTATTAACTGTAATTAATGAATGCAAATGTGCTACTCTGAGCACTAATCTTACTGTGTGTTCCAACAAATAAGATATTGCATATCAATCCACCAGTTTGCTAAACGCATCATCCAATTCAGGGTCACAGGGGAGTCAGAGTCTATCCCAGCAAGCAACAGGCACAAGCCCGGATACACGCTGGACAGGATGCCAGTTCCGGGCACACATGAACACAGACACACAAACCCTTGCACTGAACCCTAATTTTCCCAGAATCCAATTATACTACATATTTCATTTGAGTTCTTTCAGTAATTTCTCTGTCATTGGGTAATTCTAATATCCCATTCTAGTTTTTTTCTTTCTGAAAGGTTCTGTGTTGATCCAACTCAAATTGCTAGATTAGAAAAATAAAATAATTAAAAAACACTGAAGATGCAATATAGGTTAAAGTGAACATTTACTGAAGCCTACTGTACAATCAATAAGCCCCAGCTTTTTAGCCTGTTTCTGTTTTATTTTGCAAGCCACTGATTTTAGGGACAGGAGATAAGACAAAATGGGCAAACATACTGATTATGAAGTCGTGGTCCTGATGCGCATCTTAAACTCCGCTAATCTATTTAGGTTCAGCATACGGCTGTCTGTGAATAAGAGACCATGTCAATTTACTTTGGGTGCAAAACATTTTTGTTAAATACAAACGGTAGGCTTTTGAAAAATAAAAACACATTGGACCAGCTATCTAAACACAAAAGTAAATGAGCATTGTGTTTTAAGTGTGTAAAAATCAATACAAAAAGAGAGTAATAAAGATATTTGCTTAGGAAACTGTTAAGCAATGTTCCCCTAAGTATGGACAAGTGCATACTTTTGCTGTGGAGGAATAAAAGAAACACCAAATGTAGTTCTTTTTCTTCCGATACAAAACTCTAGACACTTGCATCAACAATAATCTGACAGTTCTCTTATTATGAGTCCACCCTTGGAAAAATACTGACTTTATTGTTTCTGCTGATTTTTCTCTCTGTTCTCAGTTTCGGCTGCTTAGTCTGGATGAGTTCCTCAGGGGTGTTGCCCAGAGGAGGGAGCAGCCGTTTTTTACTATTCCGAGTCTCTGACAGCCATTGAGGAGGCAACTCAAAGGGCCCGAAGCCAAAGTGAGTGGCGTACTTGTCGTTCACGTCCTCCACGTCGGAAGGGGTGGCTGGGGCCACCTGGGCTGCGGAGTCTGTGCTGCTGTGCGGAGGAGAGAACTTCTGGACAGCAGCCTGCTTGATCTCCAGGCTTGTACTTGGGATCGCCTTCGGCCGGAAGTCTCCCGAGCCAATTGACTTTGTCTCGTTTTCCTCATCCTCCTCCGTTGGCTTGAAAATCTGCTGCTGCCCAATGTTAAACATCTCCAGAAGCTGGCTTCCAGACCGTACGTTGGGCTCTGCGGTGGCATCTGCTATACCCCCTGAGTTGACAATATTCCTCCGGCTGTAGCGCCGGTGAAGCTGCGCGATGGTACCCACAAGGCATTTGCGCACAGACTTGTTGATGGTCAAAAACAGCAGAGGGTTCGTCAGCAGCGAGACCTTCGGCAGCCAAATGGCAGTGAGCAGCAGAAACACGGATATCTCTGAGATGTTGAGAATGGTCCTGTACACGATGAGCATCATGTAAGGGATGCTGCACACGATGAAAGTCAGCACCATGGACAGCAGCATGGAGTGCAGCTCGGCCTCGCGCTGGGAGACGTAGGGGATAGAGATGGTGTTCTGAGGAGTCCGCAGCGCAGCGATGATCACCTTCTTTTTCTGGCTGGCGCTCAAGGCGCGGCGAATGAGAAGCATGAAGAAGAAGACCACAGCGACAGGCAGGATGACCGTGGTAACGTTGTAAACAATGACGTAGACCAGGTGACCCAGGGAGTAGCTCAAGGAATCTGTGCACATGGACATGGCATAAATGTCCGTGACATTGGTCACCGCAAACACTGGAGCACTGGCTACCAGTGCATGAACCCAAATATAGATGACGAGGTCCCTGGACTTGGCATCAGAAATCTTCCTTTCCAGTGGATACAGAACTGAATAATACCTGAAATTTAAAAAAGGTTATAAAATTAGAATTCTATCATTCTTTAAAGCGCATGAAAAAAGATCTTATATCATTTTCCGAACATATTTCAAACAACCCCTAAAGGAAGATCTTTTGAGCAATACTCCTAACATCCTCCTCTTCAATCTGTGTCACTCTCCACTCTGGCATTATGCAAAATATAGTCACATTATGCAGTCAAACCACTTAACTCTGCAGCACAATCCAACCTATAACAACCTAATCAAACAAATTATTGATAAGTATATAAATTATTAAATTATCACAAAGATTTTCCACTGAATTTGTCAAACTATTTGTTTAAACTGTACTATGCAGGATGCTTTACAATTCTTTGTATTCATCACAGCCTCTATGTTCACCTTTTAGGAGAAGATAAAGCCAAAAATACAACTGTGCTGAACATGTTTACATTAGTCCATGGAATGTTTATCAGCCTATTATCAACTTCTCTTTTTCCACTGGAACCATAAACACAAATCTTTTCTAAATAACTTTGCAAACATGAGGACAATCAATGCCTAAAATGGATGCGCATTTCAAAACCATTTTTCTGCTGCTTTTCACTTTCCTGAAGGAGATAAATTTCCATGAGGTTTTATAAATGGTTTTGATTGTTTAAAACACATTTGTTTTCTATTTGAGAAACCATGTCAAATCTGATGACTGCAGGGCTACATAATGCAGATATCTCCTAGGGCTAGGGTTAGAATTCCCACACTACATATACTGTACATCTTTGATACTCAATTCTCAATTCTAGGCATAACTAGGATGAGTGTTAATTTGCTTCAATCTTCAATTTTATTTAATGAGACTTTTGTCTGCTTGTATTTTCTATTGCACTGGTCAGTTAACAGTATTCCCAAACTGAATCTGATGAAGAGCTTTCAGAAAACCTGTCTTAATGGGAAACCACTCTTAATTTTGCCATTTAAAATGCAACTAGAAGTACAGTATAACACCATTTAACATTTAAAGGTTCTTGAGACCCTAACCCTCAACTGGTATAAAAAAATCTAATTTAAGTGCCATTTTAATAGTATGTGCAAGCAAACTGAAAACTTCCTAAGGAAGACAATGTTTGAAGAAGATTAATTTCCAAAAGGTTTTATCACTGGCTTTGATCGTTTTACAGTACACTCATATTTGTTGATTTAGGAAACAAGTCAATTCTGATGACTGGGGGATTCAGGGACAGTTTCCAGAAATGGTCTAGTTGAATCCCACACCACTCTGACATTTCTTATGCTCACTGCTGGATTTGGGGGCCTAAGTCAAGATCACAGGATCTGTGATAATTTGCTCCTCTCTTCAATTTTATTTTTCGAGACATTTAGCTGCTTGTATTGTGTATGTTTTCAGAAACCTGTTTTAACGGGTAAACACTCTTAACTTTGTCATTTAAAATGCAAACAGAATTATTACTGCATTAAACATTTAAGGTTCTTGTAACCCTAACCCTACACTGGCCTAAACCTGATTCACATTTAGGTACCATTTCAATAGTTTTTCTCAGCTAACTGAAAAATTGCCTAAAGTAGACAAATGTTTGAAGAAGATACTGTACATTTCCAAAATGTTTTATCACTGGCTTTGATTGCTTTGATTGATTGTTTTACACTCATATATTTTAGTTTGAGGAGTTGAAACCCCAGCTACTGTAGGGTTAGGGTTAGCATTTCCACACTCCTCCGACATTTTTTACACTCACTGCTGGATTTTGGAGCATGAGTCAGCTTTAGGATCAGTGATAATTTGCTCCTGTCTTCAATTTTATTGAATGCTGCTTGTATTTTATATTGCACCATTCAGTAACTATTCCCAAACTGAGAAATGTTCAGAATGTGAACGTGTTTCAATGAGTTAACACTCTTACTTTTGTCATTTAAAGTGCAACCTACATTGAAGAATACAGTAGATTGTATTTTTGGCTGTTGTTCAAGAAATTGATGTCAGAAATTATGTAGTTACTTACTGCACAACATTTATGATCTTTCTAATGAACAGAAAAAGGAATGCTATTTTGTAGTTCACTCAGATTGATATGGTATTGTCTTGTGGTCTCTTGATAGCTTGATATCTTTAATACTACTTATTTGACACATTAACCCATCTATTCAGTTGGTACTGTGTACTCAACATAAAGTATGCATATAGTATGCTTTTACAGTTTGGTGATCTTATACCCCAAGTTATCTTCTTTTTCCCCAGAAATGCAATAAAAACTGATCCCAAACTAGCTCTTTATTTCCACAAAAAATAGCACATTAAGCTGTTAGCTTGTAATTAAACCCAAACTATTTACTGTAATGAACCATTATCCTACAAGTGCTGAGAACTCATCAGCAATTCCAATTAGCAAAATCACAACACCTTTACAAATCACAGTTTAAGAATATGTCTTCACTGCATACAGTGAGAAAAACTGTTCTTCTTCATTTCACAGACATCAGTTTCCTGAATCACTTTTTTTCCAGTTTGCTTCAATGCTGAAACTCAGTTTTAGACACATAGCAATTCTAAACAAGCAACAGTACCCCAGGAAACCCTAGTGTTTGAAGACTCCTGCTCAAATTTCAATATCCCCTAGAGGATCTTACTGCTGTTCTGATACATGGTGAGAAAAAAAAAATTATCTTTTAAAATATCACATCAATTACTGACACCATAGTTGTTGGTCAGGCATTTTTCTTGAAAACCTAATAAAAATACAAATAATATACTTTTGTATTATCTAGAAAAAAGGCTCAGAGAATATTTTCTGCTGCTTCAGTAGGCTAAAATTCACTTACAGAAATTTAGGTTTTCTATTAATAGCAAATATCGATATCTAGTGTATATCTTTGAAAGTAGAATAGCAAATTTCCAATGTTACAGACCTTTGCCTGGCTGCAGAATATCTCATGTGAAGCAAAAAGATTTATTACAAAAGGTTTATTTGGCTAATGCTTTCATCCAAAGTCACTTGTACACATTAGCATCTTACCAAAGGAAACTGAAATGAAGTTCCTTTCTAAAATGTACGGCTGCAGTGTTTCACATGTTATTCGAAAGCTCTCTGGTCCACAGTCCTAACCACTACTCCATACTGCAGCCTGCTGACTGAGTCAATGCAGAACAGACATTCTTAAATGAAAATGTTAGGTTAAATAGTGTGCTGTTTTTTAATCCAGTTCTAAGTGAAATTTTACAGCAACTGGACCTGGCAGACAGAATTTCCCAGGGGCTGCCTTCCTTTCTTGTAGAAGGACCTTAGGAACCATTGCCTCATAAACCCAATCTGTAACAGCTCTTGCAGGAGAGTTGTATTTAATGTACTTTATGTGCTAAAGGGTGGTGAAAAATAATTAAAAAGACTGCAGTGCTTCCTGCCATAAATTCCTCCTTTCTGCAGTGCAGAGCTCTTTGCATTAAACAACAGATGGCTTTATTTCCTTATCTTTTATTTATGAGCACACTGCCTAGTTTCTTTCAAACCTTTAAACTGAGATTAAAAAACAGTGGAAATACAGTGCAATGGACACAGACAGAACTTGCAATACTGTGGAAACAATATTCACCTCATAACATTTTACAGTGTTTTTGTCACAAAGTGCACTTGAAATGAACTGTACTATATGTACTGTTTTATCGTGTACTGTATTTTTTAGGCTGCTGTGTGTGTGGATTGGGCTAATGGTCATTTTTATTTACTTGATAATACAGATTCTCAAGTGAATTCGTCAGAAGGCCATTAACTAACTGCAAGATATGTTTGAAGGGTTATATTTTGCTTTAAAACACAAACAACCTTCTAGATCAGAAAACGTCTGTCTTACTGTCACATGCTTGTTACTAATACATCAGAATCTGTTGTGTATTTTTAAACCCTGGGACAAGGAGACTGTTCCCCTGGCATCCGTGACATCTGGAGTACTGAAGCAGTTAACAGTTTGACAGTGAGTCTAAAACAAATATCCTCAAATATCTGTTACTTAGACATCAAGTGATACTCTAGTCATTAAGGAACACTGACAAAACACATCTCAATATTTCAAAACAATAATAATTCCTTGCATTTATGTAGTGTTATTCATACAGGAAGGGACCCAAATCATAAACTATTGAAATCCAGCACCTAAAAAGGTGAACACAAATGAGAACATATCAACAAACTGAATTATTTGGGTAACTTAAGGTAGCCCAGGCTGTTTAAGCCCAGCTTGGAGCTGATCCAGGACATCACTGGTACTCTTATCTCCAGTGCCTTAATCTTTAATGACTACAGGCTGGGCCTAAGACGGAACAGTATTAGTTCTGCCTAATAATGTAAAAACCGTTTACAGTAGTGTCCTAGTTTTCCTTAAGAGTTTTCCTTTCCTGGTACTGATCTGTCCCCAATATGAGGTAATAATTAAAAAATGCTCATTTACCACTAAGCTATGCCAAATTACTCAGACCTATTCTCATTTGTTACAGCTTTAGGTGACTGAGAGGTGTCTCTTAGATTTTAGAGAAAGTCTGTGACACTCGAAGAGTAAACACTTCTAGCTTCAAAGCAGAGAGGATGTTTGCTGAGGTCTGGGGGGGCCCTACACAAAAACAATTGTAAAGTTTACCTTGGTATACCAACCTTGTGGGTTAATAATTGTCAATAAGCAGTACAGAAACACACACTATATGATCACGTTAAGAGCACAGAGAGAGAACAAGAAGCTGGGAAGAAGAGAGAAGAGAGACAAGAGTCCGGAGGAGTTGGGACTACTTTATGATCATCCAAACAAAACCTGACTTGAGCTCAGTATTTGAGCCTTGCTCGAGAGAGCTTACTATTCTGAGTTTTTAGGGAACTTGGGTTTCCTGGGTAAAAGATACCACAGTTGGAAATTTTCTTTCCTTCTTAGGGTGCATTTTTAGGATAGGGAGATAAGCTCCCATTTGTTTTGTGGCATCCGGGGTGCAGAGAGAGAGATTTAACTGCAGGTTGTATCACATTTATGTAGAAAGGCAGCTCATCTCTTATTTGGCCTCTGTAGGCATTAAAAGTTTAAGGCACTAAAAGGGGTTTTCTGAGTGACCAGAATGTTCGGCCTCTGAACTGCCATGTTTGTAAATACTGTACATAGAGTAAATTGTGCGTTGTATATTTTGTTGTATGCAGCGTAGTTTCTGTCTAGTCATCATTAATAAATGTTTAATCAAGTGTGACTGCATTATTACTCCTCTCACCCAAGCTGTGCCAGAGAACAAAGAATTCACATGCCTCTAACTATACCAACCGCTCAGGTATATTCTGGAAAAAGCACTTACAAGATGGGGGTTATGAATAATTATTTTACTTATTGAATTTCCTTATCACTCGGTCAATCTCTTGACTTTCAATATTTTCATAACCCCCCATTTGTAACACATTCATATCCTTTCTGAGATACAGTATAAAGCATTAGGTGCAATAATTAAACAAAAATACTAGCGTAACTCTATTTTAAATGTGAATCCACACAATATATTTCTCAGCACATTTGGCTCAGTCAGCTTACCTGTCGAGGGCAATGGCAGTGAAGCTGAGAATGGTCACCGAACAGAAGACCTTGTGGAGGAACTTGATAACTTTACAAAACAGCAGAGTGTAGACCCACCAGCAGCAGCGAGGGCTGGCGCTCAGGACAATATCAAAAGGCACACACACCAAATTGGCACAAATCCCAGAACAGGCCAGGTTCTTAATGAAGCGGTTGGTCACAGATTTGAACACTGTCGTTCGACAAGTTGACCACAACACCATGGCATTACCTGTAGAAGAAACATGAAGGCACATCTTTCTTTAAATCATTTACAATAATGTTACATTGAAAATAACACATCATTGCACAGCACAAGAACACTTTCAGTACATTGCATTTACATACAGATGGGATCTGTCATTTACAAGGTTACTTAAAATTATAATAAGTAATGTCACAACTATTGGTGTTTTTAACTGAACTATGGGACAAGATTTTAAACTTGCAATGTTCTATATTTATGTACTGTATATGCAGGAAATTGCCAAAATAAAGGAAATGATTAAGTAAGGGATACAGGGTATACAGGTGCTTCCACATTGGTGTGGTTACTGTAACCAATTAACATTCCAATATTGTGTTTAGGGTCAGGTATAAAAATAATTATTAATAATATTAATCAATATTCATATTTATTTAATAATTGCCCATTATTTTGGCTGCCATGGCTAGAAGAAGAGATCTCAGTGGCTTTGAGAGAGGGGTGATTGCTGGGGCAGGTTTGGCAGGAGCTTCAGTGATGAAGACTGCACAACTTGCTGATGTCTCACGAGGAACTGTGGCTAAGGTGGTGATGGATTGAAGTCTGAGGAAAAAATATCGTCACCTAGAGGCATCTGTGAACAAAAGCGCATACTTCTCGACCATAATGTCCGGATGCATTGGTTCCAGACAGATGAGCAAAACAGACTAGCAACTCTCAATCACCTGACTGCAAATGTCAATCTAAGGCAGTTTCATCAAGTACACAATGTTAAGAATGTCACAGAGAGGGATACCATGGTTGTGTTGCAGTGTATAACTTTTGCAAATAGGGTTGTGCAAAGAACACAGATAGTGGTCTATTGAGCAGTGGAACAAAGTCAGATGAGACATCCTTCAGACTGTTCTCAACAAGCAGATAACTACATGTGTGGCACATGCCAAAAGAAGCCTATAAGCTCAAGTGCTTGTTTTTGCAGTGAAGGGTTCCACCAGCTCTTATGGTATGGGGTGCATTTTCCCTGGATGGTTTAGGTCCATGCAACCCATTAGAGGGCAAGAAAACTTTTAATAATGACAAAGCCATTCTGAGTGATCACGTTCAACCTATGGTGAAACACTTCTATCTTGATGAGAGTAGAATCTTCCAGGATGACAATGCCCACATCCAAGGGCACAAGTGGTGACAGGCGTTTCTCGAAAAGAGTAGGGGTGTAACCCCGGCGTCCTGGCCAAATTTCCCATTGGCCCTTACCAATCATGGCCTCCTAATAATCCCCCTCTATGAATTGGCTTCATTACTCTGCTCTCCTCCCCATGGATAGCTGATGTGTTGTGAGCGTTCTGGCGCACTATGGCTGCCGTCGCATCATCCAGGTGGATGCTGCACATTGGTGGTGGTGGAGGGTCCCCCTTACCTGTAAAGCGCTTTGAGTGGAGTGTCCAGAAAAGCGCTCTATAAGTGTAAGCAATTATTATTATTATTATTATTATTATTATTATTATTATTATTATTATTATTATAGCATGGTTTGATGAGCACAAAGGCAATGTAAACCATATGTCCAGTCACCAGATCTCAATCCAATGAAACACTTATGGGAGATTCTGGAGTGGTGTCTTGAATTTGTGTAACAATGGTGTTACATCCCTCCAGTGGAATTCCAGACACTTGTAGTATCAATGCCAAGGTGCTTTGAAGCTGTGCTGGTAGCTTGTGGTGGCCCAATGCCCTGTTAAGACACTTTATGTTGGTATTTCCTTTATTTTGGCAGTTACCTGTATCCATCACGCCCCCCTGAAATGCAAATCTCTTTCACGTCCCTCACCCTATCTTCACCCTTATAGCAGCTCCCTGGCTCAATCCTCCCAATAATGAGGGAAGTTCAGTCAGCCTTATCCCTACTGTTAAACTGCTGTCCCCACAGGTAAGTGAGTTGTGCTAGACAAGGACCAAAATATTTAATCTCTATTTCATCTCTATATCACATTTGAAATGGATAAATGTTTTAACACAGAGATAGAAAAACATATTTGACAGCTATGAATATGTGCACAAGTTTTAAAATCAAGCCCCAAGTTCCACAGATCAAAACACTGGGGAAACCTTATGTACAAAAACAGATGTGATTACAAATTAGAAAGCATTATGTCAGCATCTTTTCGTGTTTTTATGCAGTGACACTTCACACACTGCTAAATAGAAAAATTGTTTAGTGTTATAAAACACATCAGTTGCTCCATATTTCACAATAGCCTGTACTATGTAGTGATATGATTCTCAGTAGAGGTGTAATGTGTGCATTCCTTGTGTCACCTAGTGGTTACAGAACATTAACACCATTAAAATATATCTGATATACTTGCCACTTTAATTATGTTAATAAAGTGATGTCCTGTGGGGTTAAGTCTCTGCTGGTTTCAGTTAAAACACTTGAACACCGCTCTGCTCGAGTGCATTTAAGTATCTCCTGGATTAGCTCAAGAATAGACCTGTTTGTCACATGTGCTACTGTGATGCATTAATAACAGGTAGAAAATTATGCAGAACCCAAATATGAAAACCTGACCAGGTACTCATTCCTCCACATGACTTTAATACTAATTTTTCTTTGGTTGTCCATGCATTTTCACATGGTAGGTGCAATATTCAAAACATTAAGTAAACCTAATAAATAAATGCAGATGAAACACAAAATAAAAAATAAAATAACAGAAAGCCTCAAAAATGCAATGCAAAATGATTATTTATTTCTGTTAATGTCATATTAATAAATTACCCCCTCAGGGAAAATAGATAGATAATACTTTATTAATCTCGTAGGGAAATTGATGCGTTACAGCAGTCCAGCCCAAGACAAGCAAAACAGACATCAGAATAGTTATAAAACAAAAGACAAACAAAATAAATAAATACATAGGTGTGTGAAAAATGTGCTGATCACAGTCACTGTAAAAACAATAAAATATGTGCAAAATGTGCATAAGTTTATACAGACTGATTGTCCAAAAAATACAATGGAGTAAACATGCTGTCCATAGAGGAGCAAATAAAGACTCTCTCTCTATGACCACTCATAAACACACATGGAAATCCCCTAGGATGCTATGTTCTAAATAACAGATTAGCACGGTTTCAGCTGAAATAAAAATCTTTGTGCTTAGCATTAAAAAAACTACAAATATAATTATATCCTGCAACACATTTTCTGCATTTTCTGGAAAAAGTCAAGGAGTTTCAGTGAAATTGCAGTGAAGTCCCCTAGAGTGTGTGATTAATTTAATTAGCTGGCATTTATATTTTATGTGAGCTCTTAGGCCCAGTGCTCTGAAGCTATAGGGTCCACTTTAGAATTCATGCTTTAAAAGCTACCATTATCCCAAAATGCATTTCAGTACCTGCATGCAATAATAAATTTCACCTCTTTCATTCTCATCATCTTTTTTCCAAATGTCTCCAGGTTTATTTAGAAATTGCCTAAAACACATGCACAGAACTAGAGCCTCCATTTAGATTACTCATTTAGAAAATCAGCATGATACACTATCAGGGTGCTATGATCTCCAATAACACAATCATGCATGGAAACTGTTTCCATGATTCCTGTTACCAAACATTCGGTAATTTCAGTAAATTAATTATGCACATAACAAAATGTAATGTAATGACTTTTGAATGTTTTTTACATTTTGGGAGTAACAAATAAATGAACATAAATTGATTTAGTAGGCTTAAGCCATAATGCGTGTCTGCTAAATCAGTAGAGAAAGGAAAGATGAGGGCATATCACTTCAAGGAAGTCAACGGTCAGGAAAGAAGAGTCCCAGGACTTGTTACAATCATTTCTAGCACTTGTGTAGCACTTAACATAAAGGAGGAGGCCCACATCATATAGAAGTGAGACGTTACTCGAAACTGGAGAAAGTCCTACCAACACCACTTATGCACATTTATTCATTGACACACAGATATGAAGGGAAATTTGTAAGGACCCTAAGTAATCTGAAGTGCGTGTCTTTAGACGATGGGGGAAAACCAGAGCATATAGAGAAAACTCATGCGAACACAGGTAGAGCCTACAAACAGGTAGAGCAACACAAAAGGTTCTCCAGTCTAGAATCAAACCCCAGAATCCAATCTCCCAGCAGTAACACTCACCATCCACACCACTTTGTTCCCTAGTAGTGACCATGCCATGCCATGACACATGGTAGGTAGGGTACAGGTAAAGTATTAACTAGAGTAACTGATGGATTTTTGGATTTCAGAAGCACTTCAGGTCTATCATGAATCAATTCATAATGATGAAACAATGGAGAGGTGCTTTTGCCTTTATTTTTAAAGGGACTCCACCATGCCTATTGCTTTGTAATGGGGTAGAGCTTCACAACACTTTTAAAACATAGCTCTTTACGTCTGAATTATAAGACATAAAAAACAAGCATTTGCCAGCAAGTCAATGTATAAATCTTTTCAAATGTGATTCTGATCACACAAATCTAGAGGCAGAACAGTGCAGCATGCCAAATAACGTCTCACTTTTCTGAAATTGATAACATTGTACAACCTAATTATTCTATTTTCTTTTGATATGGTTAAAATAGAAGAAAGAGAATCAATGACAACATTATCTTAATACTACAGCACTGTCTAATTTCAAACAAGTAAAATACACACTCAATGACATTGTCTTTGTTTCCTGTTGAGCACATAATTATGGCGTTCAGTGACCAGATTGTTTTGTGTAATGATTAAGATGTGCTACTATTAAGATTCTTCTGCCTTTCCAAGTATGTGATAATTATATATTCAAGTAAGAAGCTGCATCAGTGTGCACTGGTTGCAAAGAAACAAGTAAAGGTTAATTCCATGCCGAAAAAGAGAAAAAAGAAACACAACATTTTGTCTGCTAGGCCTTCTGAGGTGTGGTCTAATATTTCAGATGGATTCTTGAAGAAGTCTCTACAGCCAAAACACTGTTTCTCCTTTCTATTTTTCGGCATGGAATTACACTTTACTTATTACAAGATGGTTATATTTAGAGGCCAAGTCCACCACCACTTGTCTTTATCAAGGACTATGGAGACTAGAACTAGGAGACCAAATCTGTACATAATCTTATAAATATGGTCTTCACAAGCATTGCATAATTTTACTATTGCCTCCAATTAAATACACTTTATTTTCACTATATATATTATGGTCACATGGTATTACATTTAAATTAAGCATTAAGCGTACAATTGAATTAAGTATGAAACATTTAGTGCTTTGTTTTTCAGATTATATGGAGATTCCCATATATAATGGTATTTACAGATTATGCTTGCTCCATTATTAAATTGTTTCTGATTATTTTGTCAATGGTATTCTTGTGACTGATGGCAGATGTCTGGACTTTTCATTGCATACAATTCTTCCTACACAGCTTAATTTCTCCATTTTATATGGTACTCTGTTCCCTCATGAATCAATACAAGTATTAAACCTACACCAAATTCAGTCTTATGTTTACCTACCTTGTGTCTGGCAGACAGTTTCAACATACAGCTGGGAGATTTGATAAGAGGTAGATTTGAGATGTGAGACCCAGGTGCACAAGTCTCATTAAAGCTAATCTGATCAGGAGAAACAGCCCAATTATGGAATCTGATAACACTGTTTATGGCATTTGACTGTATTTTCTCATCTAATTGGATTCCAACTTATATATCTCCAAGAACAGACTGTCAAAACAACTTGTCAAAAAGCTCAGTTTTTTTGTGTTTTCTTTGTGTAACTCTGCAAAGTTAAATGAGAAATATTGTTCCAGGAATGACAATATGTTTCCATTAAATGATGCAACTGAATAAAACATTAAAAATAAAAAATATCTGGTAATGCTGCTTCCTTTCCATAAACCAGTCCTTTATTTGAAATCAGAATAGCAACGTGAAGAAGAAAACAGATAAAACTGTACAGGAAAGAAAGTGGATCTAATTGTTGTTTTTATATCAGTATTCTTTGTTGTTCCTATTTTTAGTATAATGGATATACACCTATATTTTGCATACTTAGCATCTTTTATAGAAATATCGCTAGACTACACACTATGCTATCATTAACTGTGGCTGAAAAGCTGATCAACACATTTGTGTTCTCTCGAATTGACTACTGTAATGCTCTACTCGCTGGGGTATCTAAATCTACTCTGAACAAACTGCAGTACTGTATGTCCAAAATTCAGCAGCCAGAATCCTGACCAGGTCAAGTACAAGTATTCACATTACTCCTATACTGGAGTCCTTGCACTGGCTTCCAGTCAAATTCTGTGTAGACTTTAAAATCCTCATGCTCACCTATAAGGCTCTGCATGGCTTGGCACCTCAGTACCTGTCTGAACTATTATCGCCCTACTCCCCATGTCACAACCTTCACTCTTCTAATTCTGCTCTCCTTCCTGTCCCCAAAGCCTGTCTACATTGTATGGGTGACAGGGCCTTCTCCTGTTATGCCCCCAAGCTCTGGAACTCTCTCCCCAAGGATATCAGAGAGTCACCTTCTCTAAACTCCTTCAAATCCAGACTCAAAACCCTCTTCTTCAGAAAAGCCTTTACTTAACTGGTTCCATTCTTCACCCCTCTGCTTTTCATAGTATCACCATCCACGGTCTCCTCTATATATTGTAATTGTGTTTTATCTTGTGTATTCTTCTTATTTATTGTTGTTGTCATCCTGTAAAGCATTTTGAGAAGCCACCTTTAAAGGCGCTATATAAAATAAAGTTTATTATTATTATTATTATTATTATTTTGCTAGGCAAAATGTCTCCTGCTGCTTCACTAAAGTGTATACACACCATATTCATCTATCCATCATCTAATTTTATAGCTACTGTAGTTTTTAACCACTACAGGATTGTGGGGGAGTCAGAGCCTGTACCAGCCAGTGGACACAAGGCAGGACACACCCTGGTCAGTATGTCAGTCCTAGGAAGGGCACACAGACACAAAGACAATAACGTACACACTAAAAACAGGGCCAATTTTCCCCAGAAGCCAATTAACCTACCAGTATGTCTTTGGACTGTGGGAGGAAATCGAGATATCATTCTTCTCCAGATCTGCCTCTGGCATTACTAACTATCTCACCATGACAAAACAATTTGTCAGTTGTTTCCAGTGTGAGGTGCTGCCCATTACATCAGTACAGCAAAACAGGAACTCTTTTCAAAATCTCTTTTCAGTTGTAATGGTGTATGAAAAAGACTTCAAACATTTTTTGTTCATTTTTTCAATTAGACTTACTGTAGTTCCCATTCCTCTGCTGCACTCTGCACTCTATTTTGTATATATGCAGAAAAATGAAATCTCAGCCTTTGGGGATAGAAATAGGAGATCACCATTCATTCATTTTTTTCAGAATCCTCAATGTCCATCGGATAAAGTCATCAAGTTAGCTGTTGCTGCTGTAGACTCATGGTTGGATATTAGCAGTACACATTTTAAACAGTGTCAAACCCCCGAATTCCTCCACTGAAAGTGTTAGGTTCTGCTCATGACAGAAAGTAGCCACCACCAAAGCACCACTTTCAGTCAGTTCAACTGATTAGCTTTATATTTTATACCAGCTTTTATGCTGAACTCCGTCTCCAAGGGCTGTACCCACTGTACTCGGAAACATTTACATTGTTTGACTGTACACATTCATTTCTAATGTCCTGTTTGAAGTGATCATGTGACTGTTGTACTGTAGGTGGCCAGGCTGTAAATTCATTGTTTACTGACCCATGCATTATTTTATGCTTTCAACACAGGCCAGCTGTAAAATGTTCCTTGGAAACCAGACTTCTACTTGATCGCCTAATGTCTTTACTTTTTTCTCAGACAAGAGGCATATTATACAGGAAAAGTCATATTGTGGACTGCCTCATGTCAATGCTTGTTCAGGTTTTCAAGAGAAGTCTTGAAAATGGTTACAGTAAATTGGAAGGAACTGTAGCGGCAAAGCAAGCAGGAGTTGCACGATGCTGTATAAGCAGTATAGTACAGGAAAGCACTACACTCTGAATGTTGTGTTACACCAATGTGCTTCTCCACCTCACTTTCCATCTCAAACATTTTATAGAATTATGTTATCTTGTTAAAAGGACAAAAACCCTATTAATAATGGAATCAATAGGATATAAAACAGGATTCTGGACAGATTCTAAGCATTAAAAATTTAACATAGGCATAGGTATGGCCTATGCAGCCTTATAAATATTTTTAATGTTAGTTTGTTAAGATCTACTGCACGACTTGCAAAGCATTCAAACGTTTTCCCCTTGTAGCAGTAATAGTAAAATTAGAACATTGAAAACAATCAATATCTGCAAATATCTTAAATGGAACGGAGTGGGATATTTTTTTCACCAAAAAATGAAAGATCCCATGTGCTGGCCCTGTAGTCAAAGAAACAGCTTTATTGTTTCTGAAATGTCACAGGAAACCTAAGTTTATAAATACCTATCTTTAAAAACTGATATTTTAAAAATATGAAAAAAATACCTGTAATAGAAACTAATTTCACGAACTCATTTTACTCTCCTTCAGGTAGCCCCAGTCTTGCGAAATGTCTATATTGAGTGGCATTATAGTGAAGCAGTTTAACATGAAATTATAGTACATATACTGTATTACATCTATGGGACAAATAATAACATCATCCAACGTGCATGTGGCATGAATACATCATATTCTTTCTTTATACGTCAGGTCTGTACTTTTCATCCACATGTACGTTATGTGCCGAACTAATTATTCAAATAGTTTGCTTTATTTTATATGTAATGTCATAGGTTATTATATTATATACAACACTTCCTAAACTAAAAAAATACACATTCCTGCTACCAGCTTTAATGCTGTTACAATGTTTTACCATACCAAAATACAATAAGAGCACCTTATTGTATTTTGTGCACCTGAGACAAAAACTTAGCATGAAAGATGATGATGGATTATTGATTTACTGACATGGAGATACTGGATGAAGAAATAAAAATGGATTTCGACAAAGGCCAAAAAAAAAAGGAAACACCCCTCATGTATTGTATCTGAAATGATACAGTCAAACCATAAAGTGTAATATATTTAGATTTTACTACCTAAAGCACTGACACTTGTCTCACTTAAGCAGTCGTACTGTACACTTCAAGAGAAGATCACTGCGTTTCTATAAACACAAAAATGTATATAATGTATCCAAGTAATAACAGAATATGAAAACCAGTGCATGTCTCAGTACTGTATGTATTATTCAGTGAGTTTTTATTTACCAACACAAAACTTAGAACATAAAAATATTACGTTTCTTTTCACTCACCTAACAGAGATCCTAAGAAGATGACAACCTGCATAGACGTAGTAAAGTCCCTGTAAGTTTGCTCTTGGCTGTATCTTTGTCTTTCCAAAGGTAAAATCTCTTTCGTAGTTTTGTTGTCCCAGTAAAGCACCGAATTGGAAGTATTTTGGAAATCCATAATCCTGTTTGCTGGGGTGAAAAATTCACTTCCATTTCCAGTTATCGAGTCCCAACTGCCCATATTATCTTCTTCCATTTTTGTGCTTCTAATTTGCTCTCACAAAAAGAAACGAATTACATGTTTGTTCAAATAAATGACAGCTTTAAGCATGGTTTTATTTTTTTCTATTATTGTCTTCCAAATACTTCAGTTGACCTACTCTTGTAATCCAAAAGTATACGTTCAAAATTATTCTTAATCTTTTATCTGCCAGTAGAAAAACGTGTCGAAAAAGACGAAGAGCCGCTGCGATTTTATTTGAAAGTTGCAAAGATAGGTGTAAATCTCTGCACATTTTTCTGCGGTTTAGAGACTGGCCTTATTTGCTAGCTTATATCATGTGAAGGCTAAAAACAGGGCAGTGTCTTGCAGTCTTCAGCCCATGCAAGGGTTCGAAGTGATGAGTAAAACGTGCATTTGCCCACATCAACACTACATAGCAGCATTTTAACCGTGCAGCCCACTTGGGCGTCTTCGCTCTCCCTTAATCTTTATGCTTCCACCCAGAGTCTGAGGCAGAGGTGCCATCTTTCGTCAGTTGGTGTTGCCAGGAGACATGCATCTGTTGTATTTATTGGAGAAAACCACATCTTCATGTCACAGATTCCCTCTTTTTGAATCCGTTCCTTCCTTTTCCGCATTGTGTTGGCTTTACAAAGCCTATGTGATGGAGAGAAAATATCACCACACGGCACCTTGCACCTAACAAAAGCTTATCCGCTGACAAAGACAGATGTGAAACTATAAACTTCGGAAAAGCTTTCTCCCTTTTTATGCCGGATATTATAAGTCTGAGATAATACTATTTTTAACACTAACACGAAAAGCGTCATGTATAAAATTATACATACAGCCTAAACACCAAGGAGAACATGTTTACCGCATGTAAGCATGATTAGTTAGAAACAACCACTAAACATTTAATTTCATTTTTGAACTGATTAAATGAGCCGTTGAGTAACGGAAAATAAATTATATTTATAAACAGTTACAGTAGGTTATGAATCACATAGTTTTTCCTCGTTGCTATTTTTACTGATTGATTGTTTCTTTCTCTTAATCGAGGTTCAATAAATAGGTAAGCACATTCAGTCAATATAGAACATACCCGTTCAATCCATTTATTCCCAGAAAAAAAAATGATAATTTAACTACTGCTCTAAATTCACACATTAATTGCGCTAAAGCTATAAGGACACACGATCATAACCAATGATACGTGTTAGGAGTCAAATATTTGAAAACCCGGAATGCATTTTTACAGCAGTTATCTGCTGCTTATTGAAAAACAAAAACGTATTCATTTTTAATTGTTTCACATCTTACCGTATCTGTCATTCTATCATCTGAAAGGTTCAAAACATGTTTTTGTGGTTCAGTTCCTTCTCAAAATGCAGTCTGAGTAGTATGGAGCTCCTCCTTCAACAGTCGTATTGAGATGGGGGAGCAAAGATGTGAACTGTAGTACTACTGAGCTTAAAATGTGTCTATTCATGGAATATCTGTGCTAATTTCAAATATCCCGTTGTCATGCATAATAACTGTTTATATTCAGAATGACGCATCAAATGATCAAATAAGCACTTTGGTTTAAAGAAGTTAATATGTGTAGATGATAGCCTTTAACACCAACAATTGCTGTTTAATTTAAATAACAAAATCTATATTTTTGTTATATTTTACGTGTTCAGTTCCTATAGCAGTATTGTGAATTTCTGAAACAAGAAACTCCCCCCAAATTAAAATTGCCAAACGTTGAGCGAAAAATAATATGCGTCTTCTGACATTGTGAATTGTCATTCGTTCATAAACAAAACATATCAGGCTTTTTCTAAGACATTTAATGTAAACTTTGTGTGCGCAGGACTGTTTTGATATTCACACCCAGTGTTTTCTGTTACACCCGGAAGGTGCATCGGGGAGAACTGTAATCCTTGAACAATCTGAGTTGCTCTCTGAAGGTCATTATATTCGCCCAAAACGTCCTTCAGACATCATAGAACGAAGATAACATGCAGAAGAGAAATTCCTGTTAACTTATTCACAGTTTTCCAGCTGTCCAGAATGAGCACAGTCAGTGTATGTCAATGGATCCTTTGTACAGAATTCTGTCACATAAATATAAACGTGTCACAGACATACACTAAATACAAAACCTTGAGGGGAAAAATCATTGAATGAAAATCATAAAATGAAACAGGCAGAAACCATCTCATGTATAGTGTTTGTTTTATACCAGAGGAGTGGCCACAGAGGTTGTGTAATTGAGCAATAATGTTATGAAAACCTTTGGCCGTGTTTGCTACAAAATTTGGTAAATATTAAAATGGAGCCAAAAGTTTCATATAGTTCTGTATCATAATCATTACAAACCATTAAGGAATCAAAAGGCAGTTTAATTAAGACACCATGTACAGTAACAACCTCGGGTATGGTATTGTAGCGCCACACGGGGCGCTTTAGCCAAGGGCACGCAAGGCGGCCTGAAAACAGCGCCTGGGGGCGGGACTACGAGACTGCATATAGTGGGACGGAGGCTGAGAGACAGGCTCTTGCCTTCGTGTGTGTGTGTAGATGCAGCGCTGTAACCTCTGTCCCTGTGTGTGTACCTTTCCCCGGTTCTGGTTATTAAATGTGTTGTTCAACCCCGTTCCCTGAGTCCCACGCCTGTTCCATTCCGTACCGAAGCCCGCGGTCAATACAGTATGTACAGTCGTTGTCCAATGGGAATGTCTCCATGTGGTTCCCTTTGCTTATGTATGAAATGTCATTGTTCCATGGTGCAGTTTTCATATGCCTTGCTTGAGCAGGTCAACTAAACACTTAAGCACCTTACTCTCCCTAACCTAAGGGAAAATGGACCAGTTGATTATTTTGGAATCATCTAGGAAATAAGTTTGCATTGATTTAGCATGTGTTCTACAGAGTGATTTAGTCTTAGACCAGATTCTTATTTGATAAGACACAGATTTCCTAATTGCCCTTTTAAGGTGTTTTTGTGTTTCAATTTTAAAGAGGGGTCTGTGTTTTCTGTGTCTGTACAGAACTCTGGTACACAGAAATTGGAAATATCTGTAAATAATAGTAAAACACTGTAATTGTGTCCATGACTACAGTGGATGAAATGATTGTTGAGTTTAGAATTTGCTTGAATAGAGAGTTGGTGTCAGGATTTGATTTTTGATATTCTATTCACACTTCTTATTTTATAATTATTCTTATACCCTATTTGTAACTATTCTATTCACATACTGTACTGCAATTAGCTTCATATTGTTCTGAAGAAAATTTCCAAAGTGCAATTAAGTAGCAAGATGCTGGTGTGACATTGAAAAGGATCCAAGAAAGGCAACGTTTTACCAAATAATGACCAATGAACTTGCTTTTTAAAATGTGAAAGAGCTGGTTAGCAAACTCTAAAGGAGTTGAGATTCAGTAGAAAATAAAAACAGGAATAAGAGCCTTCATGATAGAGGACCACCTGGTTTGAATTGACAGGTTGGATAAGCAGTGTAACCCAGATAAAAAGGTTCACTAGGAGCCTGAGAAAGATGACAGCAGGCTACAGACCCCTTCAGCCTGCCTTTGAGGAACACAATTTATTTCATTGAGCCTTGGTGTTAGTGTGTTCAGAAACCCATTTTCAACATGAAAGACTGTCACCACGACTCACCTTGCTACTGTACATTATACACATTCTTTTTTTCTTTACAATGAGAAAAAAATCACTGCATTATCAGCTTCTTATTCCTTACATCACAAAATGACATTAATGAGATACTTTTTCATCTTTAATTATTCCTGCCTTATTCTGTCCTAGTTCTTTGCAATTGAAGCAGTCTGTCTTACTGTAATGTTCTGTTAATCCCAGATCGTTATTGCTATGTGAGATCTCATTGTATTAATTTCCAATTTAGTTGGCAAGACACATCCCAAAGGTTTTTGATAACACAAATAGATTGACTAAAAAAAATAATATGATTTAAAAAATATAATATAATCATTGCCTCATTAATCACAAGGTTCACAGGTTTTTTGTCTGTTTTAAGAATCCCAGACTATACAAAACTTCAAAAGGAGGCTCAGAGTGTTTGCAAAAGGAAATAAAAATAATTTAAGCCTTTACTCATATATTTTATAAAGCTCTTAAATACACTAAATTAAACACTTAGTTGTAGAAAGGATCACACATTCTTCATCTTAGACTTTGTGTCACATAATTTAAAATATCTAACAATATTTTCATATAATTAATTCATTATAATTTGTTCTTAATTAAGGTCAAAAATACTCTTAGGACTTTAATTTTATTTAAAAAATTAGGAATTTTGAAATTAAAGAAAAAAAAATGACAACTCACTGTAAGTGATGAAAAAACAGGAATACTGGAGGTTTGGTAGTTTCAATTTTTTAAAGTAATATATATATATATTATTTTAGACAATATTTCTTTTAACTGCACATTTTCATGCTTTGCTTTAAGAACAGCTTAAATGGAAGCTCAGCTGTAGATTTCAGCCAATAATGTTAAGAGCGGCTGGCCAGTTTCAGCAAAGTGTACTTTGGGATTAGCCTTCACAATCCTGATGGTGACTTGACTTGACCTTTAGGTACAGTAAACAAGGGAAATGGACAGACCTCTCCGAGCAGTCAAAGATTCTCTCCCTCCCACCCCTCACCATGAGGTCATAATAACTGTGACCACTCGGGCTCTAATCCTGTGCCACACTGAGACCTTCACACATGCTTGTCATAAACCGTCTTTCTTGGACAATTTTCACCGTGCACTTTAACAATGCACTGTTTTCATATGGCGTTGTGCACTGACGGAATACTTAGAGCGTTACAGCAACTGATGCCTTTTACAAATATAATGACAGAGGATCAAGTTTTGTCTTTACTACTTTTTTATGTTAGTTTTTTAATATAGTAATAGATAACGCATCTACAAACCCCACTAGAACACGTTTTCCCGTCATCAATTTCCTTGCACAACAGGGTTGATATTGAGACTTCGGGAAACTACCGCAAACCTTGAAACAGCAGCAGACCGACGGTAAAGTAGCACAGCCCCCTCTAGCGGCATTATGACTCCTTGTTGATACAGTAAAACGCACTTCGACATTTGTATGTTCAATATCTTAATTAAAATAAAATGTTTTATAGAAAATAGAACAATTATGTATTTATAAATGTAATAATACTTTTAAGAATAAGCCTGTCAAGATTGAGGGGAACACTGACGGAGAAAAATACTGGTAATTCTTAGGGGAAACCTGCTTCAGACCTAAAACTATGACAAAAGAAACTACCTTTCAGAAGGACAATGACTTAAAATACAACGCTGCTGTCAATAAGCGATCAAAACAATCAACAAGCTATATCAGAGAGCTTAAGGAAATCTGCCTAGAATAATTGGTAAAAGTTGCATGAAGCCAGTATACAATGTTGATATACACTTACCCAGAAGCTGTAATTGCTAACAAAGGTGTTTCCACCAAAACTGAAATCAACTAATTGCATTTTTTGTCTTTAGTTTTTACTGACATTAACTGTAAATCACCTCACCCTTGAAAGACTTCAGTCGGAGCATTCAATTCTTGAATACAATATTGCATTTAAAATTATTTTGTAATTTCAGCAAAAAAGACACTATAGGTAAGGGCTGAATACTTTTACAGGTCACTGTACTTTAGATCCAATATTTTCTCATTGGGGTCTGTTTGGATTGGAGGGCTTATTTCACACAGAGGGGCATATAGGTGTTCCAGTTTACAGCTTTGCCTTACCGAAGCTACATGCTGTATCAAGGTGCTCCCTGAAAAATGCCTGGATCTTCCCCCAGAGATCTACCTGTGCCTCCGCATGACTCTTGGGCTCACCACCCCACACTACATATTTTCCAATAGCTGCGTGCAAAGATGAGAAACAGTGAGGCATGTAGGGGACATCTAAATAATGCCCCGAACCAGGATACAGCACCACTTCAAAGTTGTCTTTTCCATACTCGGTCAGGCGCTTGGCTGCCTGCTCTGCAAAGAAACGACTGTCCCAGTTCCTGTCATCCTCAGCCGCCACAAACAGGAATCTGCAATCTGCTCGCTCAATGGGAATCAGCGTTCTTCGGTTCTCTGGTGCCATCGGGTTCCAGATGCTATGCTTGACATCCAGAGCTCCAGACTCAGTGAGGACTGCTCTGTTTGCATCAAACATCAAGGGAGGAATGACTGTGTCTTTGTAATGCAGAGGAAACATCACATTGGCATTACAGCCATTGATGCAGACGGTGGCCGAGATCCCAGATAGGAATGATGACATAGACAGAGCCAGATCTCCACTTTTAGAAATTGACAGGATACCTATCCCGGGACCTTTGACCTTTGGAGGAAAAAAAAAGCATGCTAAGTAACAACACAATGCAAAGATGCAGAAAAACATGTAATGTCATGTCATTTGCCAAACTGCTTTATACCATACGGTGTCGCGGAAAGCCGGAGCCTACCCAGCAAGCAACGAGTGCAAGGCAGGGTACACCCTGGATGGGGTGCCAGTCCATTGCAGGGCAAGAGCGAGCCGATCATATATGGTGACAATTTGGAGACTACGGTAAAGGTCGAGGGGGGAAATTTGGCCCAGACACCGGGATAACTCCCTACTCTTATTGAGAAATGTCCGGGGATCTTTAATGACCAGGGAGAGTCAGGACCTCAGTTTAACGTTTCAGCCGAAAGACGGCACCCACTGACCAGGCTCAAGCCTGCTTAGCTTCAGTGGGTAGCCTGTTGAGAGCTGCAGGGTGATATGGCTGCTTGCAATAGCAGAAATACAATAAGCAGAAAAATAGACCTGTACAGTTATATAGAATGTTGCCTCATGTTCAAATATACAACAAAACTTTTTCCTTTCCTTTTATCTCTTTCTTACAAAAAAATTAAGTATACTATAAACTATCTGTATTTAGGAAAATGGTGGAAGCCATTAGGAAGGCAGAAGCAAATACAAATGACATACAGTATTTAACAAATCCCCAATATACACATATACTGTATATACAGTACACTGAGTGTAAAATACATTACTCTTGTTATTGAGTATTGGGATCTTATTTTCTTTTTCTCACACATTTTTATCTTCAGTGTGTCGAAATGTGATGTGCTCTATAACCTTCTGACCTTTTATCTATAAATAATATTCAAAACACAGCATCTCCTTGTTATTTGTACTTAGAGCAGAGTAACTAACATTACAAATGGAAAGACACTACACTGGATTTGCTGTCATTTTAGTTTTTGTTTCACTGACAATTTTGTGTTTTTTGTGTTGTTCTTGAAATGGAAATTAAATAACAATTAAAACAAATGCAAGTATATGAAAAACAATGTAGAATAATCATATAAAAATATAATAATATTGAAACCAAAACATATAAAAATGAATTATTAGTTTCTACCCTGCAATAAAGGGTATTTAAAGAGAATAGTAAAGTAATAATGTTTGTACTACGTATAGGTCTGTAATATACAGTACCCATAAGAGGTCTGTAATATAGAGTACCAATCTGGAGTTTGAAAAGAAAACCTGACTTCCAACCTCTGGTCGTCTGCTCAGGAAACTCAATGCATCTTCAAAGTATTCCAGATGAAGACTGCTGACATTGCTAGGTGTCCCCTGGCCATATGGGGCCAGAGCAAACACCACAAATCCTTGATTTGCAAGAAGACAGGCTCGGGTCTCTGACAGACCAACCCCAACAGTATACATGTCCACGACACCTGGAAAAGGGCCCTTGCCTGCAGAAAACAGAAAAAAACAGCCTGAGACAAAGGTCAGCTAGAAGGCACACAGCATACTGTACCAAGATATGATAAGAAATGTTGATTTCTTTGTAACTTTTTTTTGGGTCAGCTTGTACAGTATGTTAGTTGTGGCCAGATGGTAGGTAGTTTGCGGTGTTTTGAGTAATAAAGAGATCCAGATGCATGATCCAAACTGTTTAACTGACAGGGAGGTGGTTGTACAAGGAGTGAAGGGGCAGTATAGCTGAGAGGATAATCAGGATGCTGGACCAGGCCTGTACAGACCGCCAGTAAGCAGGAAATGGACCGGGAACAGAAGCAGGACTGAGGAGGATCACAAGAAAGCAAGATGTGACCAAAACACAGAAGTCACAGAACAGGGCAAACTGAGAGTGAGGGCAGCTCAATAACTCAGCCATAAGCAATGGTGCCAAGGGGCTTAAATACTATGCTTATTAACGTTAATGAATTGCATGTGGCTAGGAGAGCCTGTCGAATCTTGGTGTGTGTAGTACCTAGTGGGTTGAGAGCCCAAATTCTAAGTTGATTCAAAACCTAATAGAAAGCTAGTGCAAAGACTCTAAGACAGAGGTAAAGTGATCACTTGCACGCAACCTGGTCAGGATTCTGGTAGCCAAATTCTGGAGTGAACATATTGGAGTGCTTTCAGTGTGGATTTATATTCAGTACCTCATCAAGTAGGACATTGTACCAATTAATTCCAGAAAAAAATAAATGTGTTGAAAAGAAAACATAGGACACAGTCTAGCAATGCTGCTGAGGTGGAAGAATGATGTTTTAACAATATTCTGCAAATCTGGGTCAAAATTCAAACCAAGATCGATTACCACCCAAAAAGTCTTCCATTTTGATTGAAATTAAAAAACGGTGCTATCCACAGATAGGGTTACTATCTGAGGGTTACCCTCATGTCACGATATTAGTCCCCCCTCCTTAAGGGTGCTCCAGCCCTTTCACTTAAGACTTTATTCTCTGCACCTGTTTCCCATTCCCAG